GTAATGGTATTACAATAGAGTAAAGGTAACTACAAAGACATGTGGGAGGATCTGGTCAGATTAGATTGGACGGGGAGTCTTACAGGGAAGACAGTGGAGCGGCAATGCTGCAGTGATTAGAACCAGGAGGATCACATTGACTGTGAGATCTTGAATATGGTAGTTAACTTGAACCAATCAGAAAACCCTGGCTGACCGATATAACCAGGAGATTTCGCTTCTGGGCCTGGCCGAGTTGGCCATTCATACGTCCTGCCCCTGGAGATGGAGCACACTGTGTACACTGGTGCTCTCGATATTTTTCGGTAGAGATGGGCACTATGGGGTGTGGAGTGCTTTGTTTCCCCCCACAAACTCTACCCTTCCTACCATCCCCCTCACTTTTTCTTTCACATAGGCATTGCCCCTATAGGAGCTCTGCTTGGTGCTTCGGTCACATGGGTGACTTTCCTGGTGATGGTATGTTAATAAAGTTATTTGCACACCTGCTGTTTTTTTACTGTTTCTCACACCAGCACGTGCACAACAAGTGTGCTGGGAAAAATGAGCACTACTGCTGGGTAACAGAAGTGTAGGGGAACAGCAAAACAAAAGTGACAAGGAGACTTCGCATCTCCTCAGTTCAGGGTGACTGGCTCCAAGCTGCCTGACAACAGCCAATGTTCTGTGGGGATAGTTCCTGTTGTACAGTGACTTCAACTCTCACAATTGAGTGCTCGTCTTATGCCCCCCAACACAACTGCTGCTGATACTACAAAAGTTATTACCGCCTGGGCCTTCTCCCTTTGCTGCTGCAGCCTGGACCCTGCCACAGGCCCCACCCAAGGACTGCCACTCCTGCCAGAGACCCCAGGCCCCAGCCCACACCACACCTCCCCCCACCACAACTCCGTGCCTGACCTCCATGCCCCCTGCTTTACCCACCCCCACCCCCGCCAAGGGGTGTGGAGGGAGGGCTTTTGGGTTCTGTGAACGTCGGGGGTGGGCAGGACAACTTCAGAAAGTTTAAAACCCAGAAGAGGTAGTGGCACACCCCATGGGAGGAGGAGAAGCCCACACAGTGTCCTCCCCTGTCCCCTGACCCCGTCCCCCTGGGGAAGAGCCTCCGTTGCCCTCCTGCCCCTCTTGATGTCCCCAGGATTTGCAGCGTGCCCTCCCACTGCCACCATTCCAGCTGGCCCCAGGGAAGGTCCCCGAGCCCCACTGGGGCCGTGGTGTGTACGGTTGGCCTATGATTCCTGTTGGGTCATTGGGTGGTGGGTAGGAAAGAAGGCGTTTTCCTCGCTCCCCAACCCCCTCCCCTCCCAAAACTGTTTTACAGGGGGTCCTGGCCCTGAGGTGGGGGTGGGACGGAGGACTTGTTCCCCAGAGGAGCCGTGGGGTCCCAGTGACAGGAGGGGGGTGCGGGGAGGGGCCAGTGTTAGG